GAGATTTTAATGCTTCTAGTGACAATACATAATCTTCATCTATCAAATATAAGCTTCTTCATTTTCTTCAATACAACAACTTATATGACTTGGCAGTTCACACACAATCTACAAATGTGTGCCAGGTTTGTGGCGCAGATATCCTGAACTACAAATCAATTTCAAGATCAGGTGTAATGTAATATAATCAAAAAGATTCAAAACAACATTCATTTCATCAGAAATCGCCTATTTCTTGAAATTCTGTATAGAAAATCACCTTTAGTGCTTTAACAAAAAGTTTTCACTACACAAATTTACTATATAAACACCCCTTCCTAACCCTAACCTGAACCCTAACATAAATGAACTTCGAAGAAGGTAAATTTTTAATTTTATTTATTAAAATAAATATTTTTGCTGCGACACAAACCTGGCACACATTCAAGGAAAGCCACACATAATACATTTTATATGACATACATGCAAGATCAACCAATCATTTTGAATAAAGGGTAGATGTGCATGAACGGCCATCATTTTATAATATTTGGATTTATCGACCAAATTTTGCAAATGTTATTTGATTACGGGATTTAGGGAAATTTATAGTCATATCTGGGTTATATTCCACTGGGTTATATACCAACCTGGGTTATATCTCATATTTAAGCAGAATAAATTTTCATTTTTTATGTTTTTATATGTTTTTTATACCCTATAAAAAAATTAATCCAGGTTTTATATTCCATGTTTTATCCGTAAATGTTGCATATTTATGGAATTTATACCTTCAAATGATGAAAATTTCGGTCTAACACATCAAGTTGCAGAATCACGGAGTTTTTACAGAAATTAAAGAGATTAAATAGAAAAAATTTTTACAGTGATAATGAGTTATAAATTACTTTAAACACAGACATATTTTGTATTTTTTTTTAAAAAACTAAAGTAGGAAAACAAATTTTTGAATAAGATGGGTGGCACTTCGCGCACCTGTCGTACTAGTTAAAAAATTAAAACTCACCACACATCCCAGCAAAAATCCCGAGTAAAACTCCCCGCACTTTCCAAAAAATAAATTGAGAGTTTAAGAGAGAGCCTTTACCCATTGTATACCGTCTAGGTTCCATAGTCGAGAAGTATATATTTCTATGGAAAAGATGTTATGAGGTTAATAAATTTGTATGCCTTAGTATTTAATATGGCTTATCTAAGTAGGCTGTAAAAGATGCTGTGACTGAAGTTGTATCTGACAAAAATTATGCATTGAAGTCAGGGCTTTTTTACTTATATTAATAAGTAATAATTCAGGAAGGTGCCCGAAGTGCAACAATAGTGAACACTTTTAAAAAGTAACTATTGTATATTGATATTAATCATAATCAAAATTTTACCTACATTCTGTGCTAACAATTTTTATTTAAATAATTCACAAATTCTTAATCATAAACAAGTAAGCATCAATTTTCTTAAAAAAATATTTAATTGATAATAAAATACTAAAGTTATACAATTTTTGGTTAAAAAGTTCGTTTCGACGATATAATGCTTAATATTAATACATAGTAAATTAGATATAAAAAAAAATAGTTAATGTTTACCAAACTCGTAAAATTTAATAATTGTATTATCGAAACAGCTAATCTGAAACAATAAAATACATTTTACTCTTTTTTCATAGCTTCTAAATGACCAATATCTACCACATAATCTTTTAAATAAACCATTAAAGACTCAAATTCTTTTCGGGTTATATAATCATTATTTTTAGTACCAATATTATCAAAAGGTATAATTGGCATCTCATCTTTAAATTTTCTTCTTGAAGATTTAGCGAATCCACAACAATTTTGTATCAGACCCCATGGTCTTATTGAATCAAAACCTAGTAAAATAAAATATTGAACAATTGAATTGAATTGAATTGAACTGATTTGATTTGACTTATTACCGAATAAAATGCCATAAAAAATAGTGGCCAAGCCCCAAGCACCGCCAATAGTACCAATAGCAGTTAAAATCTATTAATTATGTAAAATATTGCATAAAATAAATATGAATTTGAATACGGCAGAATATAATAATAATGTATATTTACTGTTTTTGATCTATTAAAATAAAATAAGAAACTTAATTATTTATTAATTAGTTTAATTCAATCTTTTCTTTTAAGTACGTACTTTTGTTCTGTTTCTACAAAAACATTGTAATATTGTGGGTAAAACATAATCCATAAAAATGAACTATCAAATGAATTAGCTACTGTAGCATTGGCTAGTTGGTTTGGCTCTATAAAATTTACGTTAATTGCAATTTAGAAATTATAAAGACATTCTATTAAGACTGACACGTTCATATATGTCCATGTTTAAGAATAAATAAATTTAAAAGATCCCTTGCAGTATAAGTGACTTTACTCTATATTTATTTTACTCTGTATTTATTAGAGAAATCAACTCTCCGGTACCAATACTTGTATTGGAATTTCGAACAAGTTTAATTTCTTATACAGTGTTTAAATTGTTTTATTGAAAAATGAACCCGGTACCAAACTCCAATTAGGATATCCTTAACTGATCAACCAGATTCATTTAAACGGACAGAACAGAAATTACAATTTTAATAGTATAAATAAATTTACCTATTTTTGATTCGATATAGGGTATTGTTGTGTATTTAAATTCATCACTAAAAATATAGTCAAAGCCAAGAAAATTAATCCAAGTATTTTTTAATACTTTTCTTTTTTTTCTTGAGTATTCTATCAAATAACCCTAAAAAATTTAAATAATATTTAATATCCTCAAATGCTAAGATATATGTTCCTTTCTTTTACATACATTCCCGAGAAATAAATGGTAAAAATTAAGACGAGTTAATGAACTAGTAAACGAGATATTTTCATCATAAAGACCTGAATTATTATTTCTCTTAAATTCTGAATAAGTAAATTTTTTAACATTTTATTTTATTTTCTTGGTTTTAAATAAAACAAAAAAATTTATTATATTTAGTACCTGAATCGTAAGCACTTAGTCGTAGATTTGGATTGCCATTACCAGACAAACGAACATCTTCAGTGAAATATACATAAAGCACAACATAATTTTTATTGGTAACCGTTATATTGTCTAATGCAATTTTAACTAAATGTGGATTTTCTTGAACAACCCGATTTTGACATGAAACCCCAGAACCAGGAACCCCAGAAGCACCAAATAATATACATTCCAATACAAAGTTATCTAGAGAATTGATCTCTGTATCTAATAAGTGGAATTATTAATTTAAGATATATTGTTAGGTATTGAAGCTTTATGAAAACTGATAATAAATAAATAATTATTACATGGTATTGAAATTGACTGAGAATATTCAATAGAATGTTTTAAACTTGGGGTTTCCTCGTAGATTCCATAACATAAAAGTATGATATAAGCTATTAGCATTAAAGACAAGATTATAAGGAAAATGCGTCTCATAACCAATACAGAAATTGGCTCGGTTTTTCTTTTACGATAAAATAAATCATGGAAATTCATGATTATTGGCCATGAAATGAAATTATCATAAAACCAAGAATTTTTCACATACGAATATTTATTTATAATTTATAAGGAATTAGAACGTACAAAAAACATTTTTGCATACTCAAAAAAATAAATAAATAATTTGTGTAATTATATAAATAGTCAACAGTTTCTTTATATAATCAAATTCGATGTTTGATAAAAATAACTTTCTTAGTATGTATAATTGTAACCAAACCAAAAATTCTACATTTGTTGTACGCACGGAGATGGGTTCCATAACGGCAGTAAAGATTAAGTGCATTTTTGTTTAGACTTTAAAAAATAAATTTTTGGCTAAATTCTAATATTCTTTGATATTACAATTTCATGAAGTCATTATGAATTTTTTTCTAAATCACTTTTTAGTATTAAGCCTGGCATTTTTTTTTAGCTTTGCAATCTGTCAAAATATACCAGATCCCCGACTTGCTCAAGCAAGCGTTCTTGTTGGTTCTAAGATTTATTTTTTTGGTGGACTCAATGAAACCTTCAATGCAACAAATGAAGCATGGTATCTTGATTTATCGAGTTCATTCGATACAATTTCACCAACATGGCATAAAGATGTTGCAATGCCAATAGCAGTTTTGTCTGGAACTTCGTGTGTCAGTCCTATTGATAACTCTACTATTTTTGTAATTGGTGGAGAGATGTTTGTTCCAAATACAAATATCTTTAACATCACTTCTGAAGTATATGCCTTCAATTCTAATATTTCACAATGGACTTCATCAAACACTATTGGATTAAATAGTACTTTCAAAACACGTGTTGGAATGCAAGCTGTCATTAATAATAATGGGAGAATTTTTATTTATGGAGGAGAAGTTAGTAATAGATCGTCAAATGTTTGGTATAATGATATGAATATACTTGATATTACTACTATGACATGGTCAACAACTATCATATCATCAAATTTTCCTTCTCCTAGTTTTTATACAGCTACATTACTACCAACTGGCATCATCATTTATATTGGTGGATGTCTAAATGTTACATGTGTTAATATGAGTGAGGTATACACTGTATTATATTGAATTTTCAATATGCATTTTTTTTTAATTTTTTTTAATTTTATTGTAGAACCGAATATTTGACACAAAATCTTTCAGCTGGTATAAACAAGTATGTCCAGTTGTTTCAAGATTATTAAAATTTCACTAGTAACTTCATAGAAATTCACATAAAACAAATTTAAAAAATTTGTCTTCGTATTGTGTTGATGCATCAGACTTTTAGAAATACCGTGATGGTTATTAATAAATAAATACTCTATTTTTACTTAGGTGATTGACACTAATAATAACGTTATTGGTACTCGTCAGGGACATTCAGCCGTTTTAAGTATGTATTACACATAGGATAAAGTCTGAATAATTTAATAAAACTATTTAAAAAAAGTAATGTGATTTTTTTATTAGCTGAAAATGGAGATATCATCATTTACGGAGGTCACAATTTTTATTATAAAGACAACAGTACACTTCTTCCCGCGATTCCTAATATTGCAGTCTTAAATACAAACACTTGGGTATGGTCTATTCCAAATACTACCAACCATCAAAACTCCGAACCTCTTTCATTTCATTCTGCGGTATTATATGGCGATTATATGATTATTGCATTTGGTGATTATTGTAATATTTCTGTTTTGTTTTTAGTTATTTAAAAAAAGTTACGTATTTAATTTTTATATTTAGGTGTTGACATATTAATTCATATAAGAAATAGTGTTTATATCCTCGATACACGAAACTATACTTGGATTACATCATTTAACCCAAACCCTTTGTTGTATTCTCCAAATTACTCACCAAATATTGCATTATTGATTGGAATTGGGATTGGAGTGGGTGGAATTGTTTTAATAGTAATTTTAATTTTTGTTAGAGTTCTTTTGCATAAAAAAAGTAAAAGAGAGCACCAAGATTCAAAATTATTACTAGAAGAATAAAAAAATTGTTATGCTTGACAGAGTATTGTGGGGCATGGGTTTTTAAATATGCTAAACGAAGTACATTATTCAGAATTATTTTTTTTTAGCAAAAATGCATTTTTTTAAAAATGAAGTGAGAATGAATTTTTATTACTTCAATACGGTTTCATGCATGTGCATTCATACGCATGATATAGAAAACTATAAGTAGCCAACAATCAAATTTAATGCATGTAAGCCTTATTCATTATATAACCAATATATATTAAAGAAATATTATAAGAAGCTTTCATTTATTATTGATGGGCTTTCACTTTCTCTGCTCTTGCTTCATTTTCATTTTTCTTCATGCGCATTTTTCTTATTACAGTTGACCCTCCATAAATGCATGTCATTTAATAAACCAGATAGCTACGCGACATTATGGCATGGTGTAATGACAAATTATAATGAGGTGTAAAGGTGTTGATTGCAGATAAATATATAAAGTTTATTGCTGGAAAAAAGTTGAAATCGCTATAGTACTAACATAACAATATTAATGAAACAAATGCTCTTTGTAACTATTGCCCAAGTGGAACTTGATCGAATCAAAAATTCATTGACTATCAGAAGAGTCCTGAGATGGGACTAGGGATGGGCTCGGTCGGTTACGTTCGGTTATCGTTCAGTCATTACCGGTTAGCCACTCATAGCCGGCTATCCGTGGCTAAATAGCCGAACAACTATTTAATTAATTACTTCTTCAAATATCTAAACTAATTGTATGTTGGTTTAATAATTGTCGCGGCTGATGCTGATTTTGGCTAAGCAAAGGCGATTTCTTACGAAATTTTTGATTTTTTTATTCAAAATTGATGTTTGTTTTGAATTTGTTATGTTAACACCAAATCATAAATATTAAAGATCTATGTTTTTACTCCTTATTTGTTTGTGCGGTGTAACTTTTTTTTCTGTT